ATCCTTGCCCATACTCGTTATTCTGTGCCTTTTTAATTATAAGCTCCTTAGTATGAAGTGGCATTTCCCTGTGCTTGTGATTTTCAGTTTCCTATTGGGTAACAAAGTGTCTTTTCCTGTGCCTGTTTGCCATTGGTTTATCTTCTTCGAAGAAATGTCTACTCAGATTTTTGCCTATTTTGAAATTGAGTTATCTGTCTTTTTATTGCTGAATTTGTAGAATTCTTTATATATTTTGAATACTAGACCCTTATCAGTTATGTAATATGCAAATATTTCCTCCCGTTCCATGGGCTATCGTCACTTTCTTGGTAGTGTTTCTGAAACACAATCTTAAAAAAATTTTTGATGAAGTTCCACTTCCCTGTTTTTCTCCTATGGTTGCTTGTACTTCAGGTGGCAGAAAGATCTGTATCTGTATTGTTCTCAGAAGGCTTTCTCCTGTTAACGCTAACAGTTAGGCCTTTGATTTGATTTAACTTTTGACATTCAGTTATCCCAACACTATTTGTTGAAGGGATTAATCTTTCTTCACTAAATTGTTTGAACACCCTTGTCAGTGGACCATAGAATGAGGACTTTTGTGGGGTTTCTGGTTCGTTTATTTGGGGCTTGTTTGTTTTTTTGCAGTCATTCTACCTATTTACATCAGAATGTTCGTTAGCATCTTCATGAAAGTCGCTGTGTTCTTCTCTGGTCAGCTCAGGGTTAATGTCTGTGTTGAGTTCGCTGTCTCCTCATCATGCTATAGATTTTCCCCAGATATTGTGGTTCTCTTTGGTGTGCTTCTCTGTGTGTGGGAGTCCTCATTTGCATGCTATTTCTGTTTGCTTTTATCTAGTTCAGGTCCCAGACACAATCATCCCTGAGCATCTATGTGGGGTTGGTTTCAGGGTCCCCCACAGATACCCAAAACTATAGATGCTCAAATGCCTTAATAGCTAAAATAGTATCATCCGGCACGTATTCCCCCCACATCTCTAGATTAATTATAATATCTAATACTATATAAATAGTTGTTATACTGTATTGTTTAGGAAATCATGACAAGAAAAATGTTTATACATGTTTAAGACTGATCAATTATTTATTTAAAAATATTTTTGATCCACTATTGATTAAATCTAAAGACCCAGAAACTATGACTACAAGAGGGCCGACTGTATATAACCTGTTGGTTCTGTTTCTCTAGAGAAACCTGACTAGTAAACAATGGTTTTATTGGGAAGTGGTTGATATTATCAAGAAAAGGTTTTATCAAGAAATCACGAATATTTAAGATACGACAGAGAATGCCTTTATATACTTCAGAAGCTCCAATTATGAATGAATACTTGATATCACTGATGAAAACATTGATCTTAGGACCCTGCACAGGGCTTTGACTTAACTGAAATACGCTGAATGATTGCTAAACACACAAAAAAGTATTGATAATGACCATGCTCCAAACTGGCAATGCAGTAGAATCATCTGGGTCCCAGGGCCTCAGATTCAGTAAGTCTGTCAGATGGGTGCCACCCAGAGCCTGGATTTTACAAATACTCCCCTGATAACTGCCAGTTGGCCAGGTTTGGGAAGGACTATTTTAGGGCAGTCCTGGAAGCCTGCATTTTATATGCTGAATTTTTAAATCCACTAGTTTCGGCTTGTGTTTCTGTATATTTATAATAATCAGAATTTATTTAGTGTTTTGTTGCTTGCAAAGGACTCTTACATAATTCCTTCATTTGATCCTCACAAAGTCCTGTATTAAACATGTTATTAACTAAGTCTAAAGTGAAAAGAAAAACTAATCTGTATTGTAGTATTTCCAAAGCTGTGCTCAGGGATTTTAATATAAATTATCTCATTTGATCTCTATACGGGCCCTCTTTCAATTATTTTTGCCCTCAGGCCTTTTGCCTGAGGCACCAGGGCCTTATGTTGTTTGCTGTGGGTCACGCAGCTGATAAGCAGTAAACTGGAATTTGGGGCAGTAAAATAGTTTAGGAGTTGGATTCCAGGATCAGTAAACTTGTATTTAGTTTCTGGTTTTATGAATTACAAAATAGGCAAACACAGAGTTACCTTTTCCAGTCCTCAGTTTCCTCATCTACAGGAAGGTGGGTAATAATAATAATTACCATTTCACAGATTATTGTACCACTGCCAGGAACCTGCTAAGCCCTTTGAAATGTTAGTTATTGCTCTTGCCATGACTATGATGAAGTTTAACTCCAAAGCTTATATGTGTCCCATCATTTCAATGTATGTCCACCAAGGAAGTGATAAAGCAAAAAGCACGCAGTGTCATCGGTTTTGCATTATTTGTTAATTATTAACTCTAATGTCCTAAATTATATAACTTCCTATTTGTATCATTCATTCTCCTGGGACAAAATGCCGGACACTTGCGGATTAAAGGAGGAGAGGTTTATTTTGGTTCGTAGTTTTAGAGGATTCAGTCCACGGTTGGCTGGCTCCAAGGCACAGATGTCATGGTGGCAGGGGCTGGTGGGAGACAGGTGCTCATCTCTCAGCAACTGGAAACAGAACTTAGGAAGGGAGGAGACAGAGAGCTACACCTGCCAAAGTCATAACCCCAGTGACCCACTTCCAGCCAAGCCCCATCTCTTCACAGGACATAGCTAGAAACTTATCAGTGATGAGTACAGTGCCCCCACGGTCCAATTGCCTTCCAAGTCCCGTCTCCAAACATTTGAGACCTGTGAGGGCCATTTTAGATCTAAGCCATAACGCTGTGCAAGAATCTCAAAAATATACTTCACTTTTCATTATAAATTTACAATTAATACTGCCTAGTTAGTATATGTTGAATGCTTTGTTGAACCTATATATCCATGATTTTACTTCCAGAATTACTTATATGGTCCATTGAGTTATAGGTCTAACCATATGCTAATACCACACTGTCTTGGTTATTATATATTTATAGTGAGTCTGGAGGTCAGGTGCTATGTAATCTTGGCATGTTACATAAATCTACTTAAAATTTTTACTTTTCAACTGTTCCTTGCTACTCTCCTGACATATAGCTGATTTTTCTATATTAACCTGACTTGTGACCTGGCTATTTCACTTAGCGGTGTATAACAATTTCATTTTTTCCCTATTCTCACCAACACTTGTTATTATTTTGTGCCTACAGTCATCCTAGTGGATGTGAAGGGGCATCACATTTTGATTTTGATTTGCATTTCCCTGGTGAGTAATGATCCTAAGCTTCTTCTGATGTCCTTACTGACCATTTTTGTATTCCTGCGGAGAAATGCCTCAATTTGAAGCTTTGGGCAAGCACCCTCCCTCCCGTGGGACTACACTCCCAACCCCCCTTTAAGGCATTGTCTTTTGTTATTTACTTACTAGAATCCTTTGTATATGTTAGGTGGTGTACTTTTATCGATATATATCTTTCTATTTAAATGTACTTTACGTAGACAGCATACAACTTGGATTTTTAAAAATCCAGATAAAAATTTCTGTCCTTTAGTTAGGATGTTTAGACCCTGTACGCTTCATGTAATTATAGGTATGGTTGAGTTCAGATCTGTTATCTTGCTACTTGCTTTTTAATTATCCCCTGCGTTTACTGCTCCTTTTTTGGTTTTGTTTAGCTCATTTCCTATCTTCTTTGGATTAATGTAATATTTTTAGAATACTATTTTCTCTTTTTTTAGAATACTATTTTCTATCCTTAATTGACATATTAGCTGTTACTCCTTTTTGTGTCTGTTCTGAGTTTGCAGTATGTGTCTTTATATTATCACAGCCAAATAATATATCTCTCCCACATAATGTAGGATCTTAAAATAATATATTTGCTGGTCACAGAAAATGTTGGAGTAGAAAACTCTAAGGGTCATCTACTCCACTAAGACAAATTTTAAGCTGAAAGGGGAATAAAAGATCAGAACCACTTATTTCAGAGCTGTGGAACCTGAGCAGACATTTACAGTAGCCAGGGGTCACTTGATGAGGTAAGAAGCTGCCGAACCTTGGTAAGAGAGTGGCATGTGAGACCCAGAGACCTGCCCCTTCCACAGACCACCCTCTGCCATGGGATGGTGCCTGGATGTCTTGGGTGGCTGGCTGGAGCCAGTGTGGACAGTGAGGACCTTATCCTCCAAAATATGAGGGATGTGCATTACCTGCCAGCCCTCAGTGGGTGGTGCATTTTGGCTAGTTTGGTGGTTCTCTACTGGACTGGGCACAGACACTAGTTTCTGTTCCAGCCCTTTTACTCTCTAGTGGCTTCCTGGCATCTATCAGAAGGCTTATAGAGACAGAAGGCCCTCTCTCTCTCTCTCTCTGGATGCAGACTATCTGGTCAGAGGCTGGCCTCAGAGATAACAGAACAGAGACTTCAGTGACTATGTACAACAAGGAATACGATTTTCTAAGAAATAGTTGGACAACTTCAGCCCCCAATAGCAATCCCTGAGGACAGATGTAGTATCTGATTTCCAAAGTACCACATTATAATATTTTAAAAGGTCCAAATTTAAATAAAAAGACAATAAAAGCATACAAATAAGTGGGGAAATGTGGCTTGCTTACAAGAAAATATAAAGTGTTTGAAAGAAAATCTCCCCAAGGAAGTCCAGATATTGGAATCAATACTTAAATCCATTAAATCAACTGTCTTAAATATGCTTCATCAGTTAAGAAGCTATGGATGAAGAACTAAAAGACAGTGAAAGTGATACATGAGCAACTAAGAAATGTGAATAAAGATAAAGAAATTAAACAAAATAGAAATTCTAGAAGTGAGAAGTCCAGGAACTAAGACATTTTAAAAAATATAATAAGGAACAAGAAGCACATTCAAGCAAGCAAAAGTCAAAATCAGCAAATGTGACAACACGGCAATTGAAATAATCCAGTTTGCAGAGTATAAGAAAAACAATGAGGGAAAATGAGCAGAACCACAGTAATCCACAGTAAAATATTAAAGAAATAGTGACCAAAGCTTCTTGGAGCCCACCACGCCCCGCCAGATGGAAGTGTGGAAATTCACAGAGACACACGAATGGATAACAACAGCAAATGCTACGGAGCAGCGGGCACCGGCGACTTTGCACCGGAAGCTGTGGGAGATGTTTCCGGTTGTCTGCCCGAGGTTGGGCCAAAATGGAAAAAGCATAGACGAATTTGGTGCTTTGGAAAGTGTGAAAACTGCCAGTGGGCTCCATTCTCCTCTTTCAGGAGAAGTCCCTGAAATTAGTGAGGCACTTGCTGAAAATCCAGGGCTTGTCAGCAAACCTGTTATGAAGAGGCTGGCGGACGAAGACGACAGCGAGAGACCCTTCAGAACTAGATGGGTGAAGAAGCCTCTGAAAAAATATGAGAAATCTACTGAGGACTGAAGTGGCACCCTAAACAAACCAGTGCAATATCACTTCCTCCAGGACAGTTGTCTGCGCTTCGTCGGGGAGCGAAGACCTGAGATAACTTTCAGCGACAGTATAACAATGGAAAGGAAGCCACTCTCAACACTGGTCCTGGAAGAAAATGCCCCTTAACCCCCCAGTGATGGCAGATAATCACAATGTGCATCTTCTTAAATATATACCTTGTGACGTTAGACTAGGCTCTAGGTTCTGATAATCAGAATTCATGAAATTATCCATGATAAAAACTAGTTAGAAAAATGATGTGATTCAAGGTCCACATTATTAGCATACGCCTTATATAACTGTAACTTGCTCCATTTCTCCTACTTAAGCGATAGGAGTGGAGGAGTGTGGGCTTCAGTTGTACAGTGTTAGATGAAGAACAACGCTTGCATGGTTTACAATACACTGGCATTGTTTTTGCATGGTGAAGCAACAGCTTTGCAGCACAAGAAGAAATAAAATATTCAACTTCTTGTAAAAAGGAACTTCTCAAGCAGGGGATTTAGCTCAGTGGTGCCGCCGCCTGCCTCCCAGGCGCAAGGACTGGAGTTCGATCCCTGGTACAAAAAGCAAAGCAAAACAAAACAAAACAAAAACAAAAAAAGAAAGAAAGAAACTTCTCAGTTTTGATAGAAGACATGAGTAAGTCCAGTCCTCAAGCTCCAAGCAAGATAAACTCCAAAGGCATGCCAAAGCAGCAAGACAGAACCCGCCCGCCCGCCTGCACACAAAAGGGGTCCTGAGTAAGAATAATAATTGACTTCCCATCAGAAATCTGCAGGCTGCAAGGCAGTGGGAAGACATATTTAAGAAAAACACTGTCAACCAAGAATTCCATTTCCAGAGAAAACTGTGCTTCAAGAATAAGAGAAAGTCTGGACCAGGGATTTTGATCCCCGGTATTAAAAAAAAGAAAGAAAAAAAATAAGAGAAAGTCAAGATCTTCACAGATAAACAGAAGCTGGGGGTGGGGGTGGGTAGACTTTCTCTGTAAGAAAAGCTAGAGAGAGTCCTTCAGCCTGAGATAAAAGGGACCAGACAGTAACTTAAGGCCACATCAAGAATAAGATAAAGGCAACTTCATAGGTAAAGATAACAGCCAGTGCCATTTTAGTTTACTTTGTAACTGCTCTTTTTTTCTATACATTTTAAAAGACAAATGCGTAAAACACCTATTTAAATACATGTCAATAGGCACACAATGTATAAAGACAATCTGTGACGGTAACTACTGTAAAGGATGAGGAATAAATATGTATAGGATTAGAATGTATACTCTTAAAAGCAAGTGTGTTTTTTCAAAATAGGTTGTTACAATCTTACGATGTTAATAGTCATCTCCAAATTAGCCACTGAAAAAAGAGCCTCACACCGGAAAGGAGAGATGAGCAAATCGAAATGGAATGCTGCAAAAAGAACCAGTTCAGTTCCAAAATGTCAGTAATAGAGGTGCGGAGGGACAAAAAGTACAGGAAACACAAAAAGTGAAATAGGTGAGCAGCAAGAGTAAGTCCTTCTTTATTAATAATCAGTTTGCACAATTCAAAGGCGGAGATTGGCAGAATAGATTTGAAAACATGATCTACCTACAGAGTCTACAAGATAATTTTATACAAAAACACAAAGAGTTTGAAAGGAAAAAGATGGAGAAGACAGGCCATGCAAATAGTAACCAAAAGAGAATTACTGTAGTTGGCTCTCATATCAAACAACATAGACTGTAAATCAAAAAAGTTTCAAAAGACATAGAGGGACATTATATGTTGATACAATTTCAATTCATCAAGAAGATACAATAATTATAGACTTATATTTGGCTAGTAATAGAGTTCTAAACTATGCAAAACAAAAATTGGACAAAATTGAAGGGGAAAATGGTTCCGTGGTAACTTTTGGAGATTGCAATAACATACCTTCAATAGCAGGTACTACAAACATACAGAAAATCAATAAGGAAATAGAGGACTTGAACAACATTATAAACCAATTAGACCTAACAGACATATAAAATACTCCACCCAGCAACTGTAGGAACACACACTCTGCTCAATGGCACAAGACACACTCACCAGAATGGGACACATGTTAGACCAGAAGAAAAATCTTGATCCACCTACAAGGAAAACACAAAAATATGTGAAAATCAACCAGCATTTAAACAATTAAAGGGCTAAAGGATAACTCACAAGGGAATTATAAAATGCATAAAAGTGAATGAAAAGAAAAATATTACACACTAAAACTTATAGGATGCTATGAAAAGACCCAAGAGGGAAATGTATGGCTATAAACACCTATGTTTACAGGATCTCAATCAGTGTCCTAGCTGCACACCTTGAGCAAGTAGAAAAGGAAGAGTTAATTAAACCCAGCCTAGCAGGAAGAAGGAAATAATAATTAGGGTGAAAATAAACAAAATGGAAGATAGAAAAATAACAATATTAATAAAACCAAAAGTTGGTTTTTAAAAAAGATCAATGAAATTGACATATCTTAGCTAAATGACTAAGAAACAAGTGGAATTACTAAATCATAAATGAAGGAGGGGCAGTATTACTGACTTTACAGAAAAAAGTATTGTAGAAGCATATTATAAACAATTTTGTGCCAACAAGTTGGATAACTTATATGCACACAAACTACCAAAACCTACTCAACTATGGATTATATGAATGTAGGTGCAAAAATCTTCAACAAATTCTAGCAAACTCAGTCAGCAGAATTTTGAAAGGATTATACACCATGACCAAGAAAGATTTATCCCAAGACTGTAGAGGTGATTTTACATACAACCAACAATCAGTGGAATCCACTGTATTAATGGAATGAAAGAAAGAAAAACCACAGGATACATAGCATAGAAAAGGCACTGGCAAAATTCAACACCCTTTCATGATAAAAAGACAGAATAAACTAGTAATGAAACAACTCCTCCTCAACACAATAAGGGCCTTGTAACATGAAATCCACAGCTAGCATTGTACTAAACAGCAAAAAGCTGAAAGCTTTTCTCCTGAGATCAGAGATAAAACAAGGGTGCCTATTTTTGCCACCTTTATTCAACATAGTACAAGGAGTCCTAGCCAGAGAAATTAGGTAAGAAAAGGGAACTTAAAATATCAAGCTTGGAAAGAAACAAAATGAGGGGAGGAGGGGGTGAAGGGAGGGCAGGGACAAGGGGAAAAATGAGAATCAAGACCTATTATGTAAAGGTACAGAATCCCAATGATGAATATAACTGTATTGTATACCTAGATTGTACCAATATCCTCAATAAAAAGAAAAAAAAAAAAGAAACAAAATGAAAATGAAAAAAATTTTTCAGACAACATGTTCTTACATATATAAAAACTGAAGGATACCCTCTTTAAAAGATGCCAGGTGAGCCAGGGATTTAGATCAGTAGTTCTGCTGCCTGCCTTGCAAGCACAAGGACCTGAATTTGATCCCTGATACCAAAAAGAAAAAAAAATTGCTAGGTGTGGTGGTACACACCTATAAACTCAAGTATTCAGGAGACTGAGGCGGGAGGACTGAGAATTTGAGGCCAGCCTGAGCTACTTAGTGAGACTTTGTCTTAAAATAAGATTTAAAAAGGGCTGGAGATAAAGCTCAATGCTCCCCTGGTGGTTCAATCCCCAGTACTGAAAAGACAAACAAACAAACACCCAAAACTGATTGAATCTAATAAATTCAGCAAAATTAGTCACAAAATAAAAAATAAAAAAAGATCTGGGGATATAGCTCAGTGCAAAGGCCCTAGTTTTAACAGCCTTAAAAATAAAACACTTGGGAATAAATTTAATGAAGCAGATATGAGTTTTGTACAGTGAAAACTATAAAATGATGCTTAAATAAATCAAAGAAGATATAAATAAATGTGAAAGCATCCAATGTTCATGGATTGGAAAACTTAATTTTGTTAAGGTGATGATACTTTTCAGAATGACATGCAGATTCAGATGTCCAAATCTCAAGCATTTGTTTTGCACAAATGGTTAATCTATTTTAAATTCACATGGCATTTCAAGGAACCCCATTTGGGTTTGCTCAAGCAGTCTTGAGAGGGAGCAAATCTGAAGAACTTCCAATTTCACTATTCAAAACTAACTATAAAGCTATAAAATAAAAAATGTGGTACTGGCACAGGGAAAGATATAGTGATCAGTGGATTAGAATTGAGGGCTGAAAAATAAACTTTTACATCGATAGTCAATTCCTTTTTGTGGATTTCAGAGCTGGGAATCAAACCTACGGCTTTATGTATGAGGCAAGCACGCTACTGCTGTACTACATCTCCAGCCCTATGGCCAATTAATATTGGGCAAGAATTTCAAGGCCACTTGATGGTGAAAGGACAATTTTTTCAACAAATCCTGTTGGGAAAACTGAATATCTGCATGCAGTAATGAAGCTAGATTCTTAACTTATTTAAGAGATAAAACTAGAAGAAAATATAGGAGCAAATTTTCATAACCTTTGTTTGGCAATGCCTCCTTCAAGTATGACACTCAAACTACAGGCCAACAAAATAAAAATTGATAGACTGAACTTCACTGAAATTAATGGTTTTTGTGCATCAGAAGGTACTATCAAGACAGTGAAAAGATAACTTACAGAATGGGGTAAATATCATAAATCATATACACAATAAAAGTTTAATATCCAGAATATATGTAAAGAACCTCTTCAGCTCAACAGCAAAAAAGACAGTCTGATTGAAAACTGGGCAAGAAAAGAATTGAATAGATGTCTCTCCAAAGAAATACACAAATGACCAATAAGCATATACAATGTTCAGCATTATTAGTCATTAGGGACATGTACATCAAAACCACCAGCAGATAGTACTTTGATGGCTGTCAGAGAGAGGCAGAGACAGAGACAGAGACAGAGACAGAACAACTGTTGTCCTGCATACAGAGCCATTCAAACCCAGATGTAGTGCTGGAGAGAGAATTTAAAATAGTGTTTGACCCCCGGTAACAAACAAACCAAAACAAACAAACAAACAAACAAAAAACAAACACAGAGTTAGAAGAACAGCCAGTAATTTTACTCTGAGGTATGCAGTATGATTGAAAACTACAATATTTAATTTAAAAAATTATTACAGTAAAGGACACATTGCCATGAATGCTGTTCGTTCACACACTCATCCCATCGTTCTTGCTACCTTTTGAAGCAGCTCTGGAAGGGGCCTTCTGAGAGTGTCTTCATTGTGCTGTCATGGCTGCCTGGATGTCCTGAATCAGTTCAAAACACTGACTCTTCATGGGCACAGAATTTCTGCTTGGTGTGTATGATGGCAAAAATGGAAACAGAGTGCTGGGTGCTCAGCACTGTGAATTTCTTAATGCCACTGAATTTCACACTTTAAATGATTAAATGCAAATTTTATGTCAAATGTGTATGTTTTACCACATTTTAGTTATAACATTGAGATGGAAAAAAATCTATTTTTCCTTCCTGCTTTTGTATTATTGTCATTACTTTTAATTCTATATACATGGATTAAGTCTCCCTCAATACACTATTATCTTTGCTTAAAACAGTAATTTTTATTTTTTATTTTTGAATTTTTGAGTCAAGTTCTCACTGTGTCATTCAGGCTGGCCTTGTACTCACTGTGTAGCACAAACCTGCCTCTAACTCACGGTGATCCTCCTACTTTAGTCTCCCAAGTGCTAGGATTACAGGTGCATCACCATGCTGGGCTTAAATTATCTTTTGAAGATATAAAAAAGCAAAATTTAGTAGACTCAGATTTTTCTCTGATATCGTTTCCCGTTAGCATGAATAACTCTTTTTCATTTCTCTCTCTCTCTCTCTATATATATATATATTTTTTTTT